CACAGGGTGTCTGTTGTGGGGAGGGGAAGGGAAAGGAGTTTGTAAGGCGCTCTGAGACTCCGAGTGAAGGGTGGGGTATAAATCCAATCTCCTCCTCCTCCTCCTCCTCCTCCTCCTTCATCAAAAATACTAGTAATGTTCCCTCTAATCTGAGTTAGTGTGAGCTAGCTCACTGATCTTTAGCCTCCAGCTCAGACGTTTTTGCCTTAACTCAGGAAGGATGGCTCCAGAGCAAACTAATTTATGTAGTAGCCAAATCACTTGCTCACAACTTTAATATCAGTAGCTCACAAAGTAGGATTTTTGCTCACAAGACTCCACAGCTTAGAGGGAACACTGCTAGTAATTCTTGATTTTGGAGTGCCAGCTGCCTTTAAAATTCTCCTTTCTCTCTGGTCTTCAGTCTATAGCTTTTCGCTTAATAAAAGTCATGCCTTTTAAAACAAGAGTCTCACTATTTTGTGGGGAAATGCTGTACCCATCTGCAATTCCTGCACACAAAGGCTGAGGTCCCAAGAGGCCCAGAGTTGGGTGTACATGTGTGCATGGCCACATATACATGCTCCTGCAGAGTCTCCGGATAATAAAAGAAGGAGGAGTCTTGACCCCACATGGTACTTCAACCCACCCCAATTATTTGCCTGTTGTGTTTTTCTGGAGGGACAGTCAATCTGGCTTGGAATTAGATGGGTAGCTCTGTTTGTCTGTAGCAGTAGAAAACAGCAAGTTTCCTGTAGCACCTTAAAGACTAACAGAATTTGTGGCAGGGGAGGAGGGCCGGCTCGAGGTGTTTCTGCGCCATAGGCGAGGCCGCCTTGTGGCACAGATGCCAACCTCCCGGTGGGGCCTGAAGACCTGGAGACCTCTGGAGCCAGCCGCCCTTTTGCTGCCGCTGCCAGCGAATAACTGCCAGCAGAGCCGATCGGGTAGGCCCGCATGGGTGGTGGCAGTACCGGGGCCGGGAGACCCAGCCAAGGATCAGGCCATGTGGGGGGGGGGGGCGAGGAGGCGAGCGACTACGGAGAGTGACGGAGATCGCAGCCAGCCCCGTCCTGGCCCGCACTGACGTCCACAGAAAGACACACGGCGGCAGCAACGAGGTGGGGGGGCATCAGACGCGGTGAGGTGGGGGGGCGTCAGACGCTTCCTCCGCCCACATCTGCTCCTCCCGGCCACGGTTCAGTCTGGGGGGTGGAAGATGCAGCACAAGAGACAGCACGGACATAGAGCCGGAGGCTGCGGGAGCTCGAGCTGGGCCAGGCGGTGGCAACAGCAGCTGAGAAGGAAACGATAGTTCAGGGAAGTTTTCCATCACCCCCTGAGAGTAGAAAAGGAACACCATCTCCTTCAGTCCCAGCTCCTTAGAGAAAGGATGCCTGCCAAGGCTCCATCCTGCGTGGAAAGCAAGCCCCCC